TAGGGGTTCCGAGCTGCAGTGAAGTCACACAGGGCAAATCATAGTCTTACTGTTGCCCCCCCCCCCACATGCTGACAGTAGATAATATGTGATATTTAAGTGCCTTGAATATTAACACAGATGCATTGCATAGTTTTATACAATAAATGAGTTGGCCTGGCCTGGATGGCCCATGCTAGCCCAGTCGCATCAGATCTCGGAAGCTAAGCAGGGCCAGCCCTGGTTAGCATTTGGAAGAGAGACCAGACCACCAAGGAAGTCCAGGGTAGATACGGAGAGCCAGGCAATGGCAAACCACTTCTGCACATCTCTTGCCTTGAAAACCCTACGGGGTTTGCCATAATTTGACTGCAACTTGATGGCACTTTGCACTACCACCATAGTTTTATATGTGTCAGGTCCCCAGCCAAGTCATTCCCCACACCCACTATTGGCAGTGAAATGCTTTATTAGGTAACTAACTAGGAATGCTGAGTCACTAGATAAGCAAACAGGATTCCTATTTGACTCTTTAAGCCATGGACCAGCAGATCAAAAGGCAAAACCTTGTTTGTCCATTATATTTAGGCAATAAGAACTAATATATTGGGGACTTCTGCCATCAGCATGCATCCCCTTTCCCCTATCTGCACCCATCTGTGGTGTATGACTGTATATTCATGCACAGAAGATACCACCACTTAGAGTTGCCAACTCTGAGTTGGGAAATTCCTGGGGATTTGAGGGTGGAGCTGGGGAAGGCAGGGTTTAGAGAGGGGATGGACCCTAATGGGGGTGTAACACCTTAATGGGGTGTAATGCCACAGAGTCTGCCCTCCAAAGCAGCCATTTTCTCCAGGGGAACTGATCTCTATCATCTGGAGATCAGTTGTAATTCCAATAGCTCTTCAGGCCTTACCAGGAGGTTGGGGATTCTACCATCATTGGGCTGGGAGGGTAGGAATAGGCAGTCTTGTTTCTTCCAGCCCCATGGGCAATGCTCCCTCTAAGCTGTGGAGTCTTGTGAGCAAAAATTCTACTTTGTGAGCAGTGTTCCCTCTAAGCTGAGTTAGTGTGAGCTAGCTCACAGTTTTTTAGCCTCCGGCTCACGCATTTTTGCCTTCGCTCAGGAAGGATGGCTCCAGAACAAACTAATTGATGCAGTAGCCAAATTGTTTGCTCACAACTTTAATGCCGGTAGCTCACAAAGTAGAATTTTTGCTCACAAGACTCCACAGCTTAGAGAGAACATTGTTGAGCTACTGGCATTAAAGTTGTGAGTGAGCAAATTGGCTACTGCATCAATTATTTACTTTACTTAGTTTGCTCTGGGAGCCATCCTTCCTGAGCTAAGACAAAAATGTGTGAGCCAGAGGCTAAAAAAATGTGAGCTAGCTCACACTAACTCAGCTGAGAGGGAACACTGCCCGTGGGTCTATGCACCCTCCGCCCAAATGGGAACATATGTGAGAAACCCTGGTCTGCTCCAGAAGGTCTTTCTGCATCTCCTTCCACAAGAGGAACTCTTCAGCAATAGCCACTAGATGGAGCTCTTGGACAGCTGCTGCCAGATGTCAGCATCCTTCCCATGGCTCAGTGTCCCCTGCTGAAGAAGTCTCTCTAAAGCACCGGCATACGATGAATCCACCACCACTGCCTCAATCTTTCGCAGTGACGTGTCTGAGGCTAGAGGCACATTGTATGATAGCATCACCCACTAAAGTGGCAGAAGGCACACGGGTCAGTGGTATGCATATTTTGCACGCAAAAGGTCCCCGCTAAAAGGATCAGATAGCAGGTGATACGAAAGACCTCTGCTCGAGACTCAGGAGAGCTGCTGCCTGTCAGAGATGACAAAACTGATCTGGATAGACCAATGACTTGACTCCAAATAAGGCAGCTTCATGTATGTTCAAGCCGTGAGAGAGAAAATGTACGTTTCTCTGTCCCCGGCCCTTGGCCTTTCCCCCACTATTTCACTTTTTGCTATCTACCTCCTGTAGTGCTAAAGCTGTTCTCTGTTGCCCCCATACATATTGGGGACAATTAGCAAAGGATTTTTAAAAAGAAGAAGAAGAGATTGGATTTATACCCTGCCCTTCACAACCCAAAGGTGTCTCAGAGCGGCTTACAAACTCCTTTCCCTTCCCCTTCCCACAACAGACACCCTGTGAGGTAGGTGGGGCTGAGAGAGCTCTTGACAGAAACTGCTCTTTTTTCAAGAACAGCTCTTATCAGAACTACGGCTTGCCCAAGGTCATCCAGCCAGGTGCAAGTGGAGGAGTGGGGAATCAAACCCGGTTCTCCCAGATTAGAGTCCGCGCACTTAACCACCACACCAAAGTGGCTCAGAGTACAAGCGTCCTTTTCAGTACCAGGAGAACACACGATGTGCAATCCTCTGAATATCTGCAGTTGCCATTTTGTGTGAACAGGGCGATGTAAGACAAACTTACTGCATGGCTCAAACCTTTGCAGACTTAACAAAGGTCAGGGATTCTCTGTGTTCCGGAGCCCCTCTTCTTAAGAAATCTCATGCACAGACATCACTTGGAGGAATCTCGTACTCTCCAACAGCAGTGTCACAGTCTGTCTTCTTCTCTCATTGTTTTGACCATGCGACATTCCTCCGAAATCCTGCAAGACTGGCTTGCTGTCTCCTCCGGTATCTAGCACAAACTACTCTTACCTTCAAAGCCCTCCATGGTCTTACTGGGGGACCCCCCATCACTCTGTTCTTCTTGCCAGATACCTTCTGCCGGCCAACTTTGCCTCTGTTCCCATCTCTGTATCACTGAAAGTATGCTGTGTTCCCTCTCCTGGGCTAAATGTTGGTTCATGGAGCAGGCTGCAGGTCTCAGAGAAGCATCTCTTCCAAGGCCTGGGGCCTTGCTATACACTTCCCCTCCGGGTCTACATTTCCCAGATAGCCTCCATTTAGGGTTGCCAACTATGGGTTGGGAAATTCCTGGAGATTTGGGTTGGAGTGACCTCAGTAGGGTGTAGTACCATACAGTCCACCCTCCAGAGCAGGTGTTTCCACCATAGGAACTGATCTCTGTCACCTGGATATAGAGTTGCCAACTTCCAGGTGGGACCTGGGGATCCCCCAGAATTACAGCTCATCTCCAGATTATAGAGGTCTGGAGAAAATGAATGCTCTGGAGTGTGGACCCTATAGCACTCTACCCCACTGAAGTCCCTGTCCTCCCCAGGCTCCATCCCCAAATCTCCAGGAGTTTCCCAACCTAGACCTGGCAACCCTAATCCCCCTGTCCCCCACTGGCAACCCTACCTAGAGATCAGCTGTAATTCTGGGGGAACTGGAGGTTGGCAACCCAAGGGCAAAGTCACAATGAATGGCATCCTGCCATCACTGCAATGTTGATTCCCTCCATCCCTCTCTTGCTCCTGTTGCTCTACCGAGCAGGAGCAGCAGGACCAAGCTTAGGGGGTGCCCTGGGGGCATTCTAGTTGGGATCTCCATAGACCAGAGTGGTGGCAGCCAAAAAACCCCTTGATTGCTCTGGGGCTGTTGGGAACAGGAGCAGTAGGAGGAGGGGGGAGCAAATGAAGGTTGGAGGACTCCTTAAGAGGGAACACCCGTGGCAAAAAAAAAACAAAAAAACACCTTCCACAAGATTACCAGCCCTGGCTTGGGAAATTCCTGGAGGCTGGAGGGCTGTATTTGGGTAGGGACTTCCATTTCGCCTAGACTCTATGGTATACCATGGAGTGTGTCCTCCAAAGCTGCCATCTTCTCCAGGGCAACTGATCTGTGTTGTCTGGAGATCAGTTACAATCCCAGGAGAACTCCAGCCCCCACCTGGAGACTGGCAACACTGCAATGGCCCTCAGTTTCCGTGGCACTCCTCCATCCTCACAGCCATTTGAAGTTCTCCTTCTTCTTCTAGCAATTGTAGCCTTCTTCTCTCCTTTTCTGCCTCCAGTATGTGGAATGGCCTCCCAGAATACCCACTTCTGTCTCTTCCTTCAAACCCCTCCTCAACACTCACACCATATCCCCAATGGGCTCTTAGAGTAGTAGATAAATTGAAACTAATTGGATTAGATCCTGAAAATGTGTTAGGAGGTGGTCTGCAGTATGCAAAGAACCTAATATATCAAAGCCTTAAGGATACTGAAGCACAAAACGACTATGCAGCCCTGCCTTCCTATTATAAGAGATTAAAGATGGGACCAGGTTAAATGCCGCATCTTACCTTGGACTCATAAAAAACCCTAACTATAGATGGGCACTTACTAGAGCACGGCTCGATGTTTTACCCTCAGCAGTACTTTATGGTAGATATACCCGGACCTCCATGCATCAGAGAATTTGCTCCTGTTTGTTAGAACAGGTGGAGTCGGCCTCCCATATAATACTCCATTGTCCTATGTATGATTAAGAGAGACAGCAGCTGCTGATACCCCTTCTCTCACGTTTTAAACCCTTGGCTTATTATCTTACATATGACGAGGAATGCTTGATGAAGTTTTTATTGGCCGATACCTATGATTCTGTCACATGCAATGTTGCTAAATATTGTTACCTGGTAATCAAAAAGGGCAGAATGTATTGTAACCCGAGCCATTAATGACGGAATTGACCGGTTTGGTATTTTAGTAATTAAGGTTGTAAGGATCCTATGTTGTAGACTCTGTGCTGTACTACTTTGGTCTTTGCTGGTCTTATGACTGTTCTTAATAAACTTGAACTTGAACTTCTCAACACTCACATCTCCATGAAACCTCTGGGGCAACAACCCCTCAGTCCACCTCCCCAACTGAAGCTAAGCCTGTGTGTGACCAAATGATGCAGTCTCTTCTCCTTTTTACCTTCACCTTCACCTGCATTTGCTGGTTTGAAGGCAAAAAGGGAAACACCCTTCAATGTGCTAGAAGCAGCCCTTCTGCAATAGGGTGTCAGGTACGGAGTTTTGGAGGGGGAAACACATCACAAGGCAATATCGTAAAAAATATATATTTATTGTGGAAAATCCTATTTTCTATTGGTTCCATTCTACACAACACACGCACGCACATATAAATACATTAAAAAATATTTTTAAAAGGCTGCTTACTTAAATAAAATAATTAACAGGAATAATAGCCTCAGCTTGGGCAAAACAACTTAAATTATCATCACAAATCCCTGAGTTGGTCAATACATAACTACACCCACCCACCCCCGGAAAATGACAATGCAGGCTCAAGGTAATATTTTTGTTTGACTTGACAGGAAATCATGGGGGGGGGGGGCACAATGGCCTTTGGCCCCAACTGGAAGTGACTCTATCTCCAGCTCCGCTCAGTTGAGTTCCAAGTAAGTCACATGGTCTGAAACCCATTGCTCCGTGGGGTTGGCACAGATATTCCGGCCTTTCTTTGTAATGAACCTGGAGAGAAATGGAAAAAGGCAAGATTATTTCCTTGTTCTCTTCGGATACCAGTTGCACTTAAGAGACTTCCCAGCATGTCTCTGCCTTCCCTCCTCTTCTTTTATTACTCCCCACAACTTTGGTAAATGTGAAAGGAATGTACAATGCCAAGCACTGGATAATGACACCCCATCCACCAATCTGCCTGAAAACTTAGTCCTTCTCTTCGAACCACTGCAAACCATATATACAACGCTAACGGGAGTAGAGGGCAGTGTGTTTTTTTAAACTACAGAGTTCCACTTCCAGCGTTCTGCAGAAGAAGAATCTGCCGTGCCAAGGGACGCTTGCATGGAAGCAGCCAGAGTTAAAGGAACAAGATTCATTCATTATTGACACATCTGTTTATAAATTTCTCCCACTCGGCTAAACTAAGTGGTGGTGATGGCAAGTGCCGTTAATTTCTCTCTCCTCAATGGAAGAACTATGTCAAATGGATTTAATTAGAACAGTGTGCCTTTTTGTCTATTTCAATTACTTTCACATTAATTAGATAAGCTTTTTATCAATCACATTATACTTATGCTTTGTATAATTTTTATTCTTAGTCGTCACTCTTTAACTATATACTATTACTCTCACTCCTTATATCGCATATACCTGGTTTAGTGGTATTATAATGGAATCTTAGTTTACTCTGACAGCAATAGCCAGCTGCACTTAATTTGTGTATCTTACTATGTTTTGTGATAACAAAGTTGTGCTTAATGTTAAATTTTTTTATATTACTCTTTAGTTCAGGGGTACATTTAGATTACCCCTATCATGTATATCTTAGCCTGTTATTCAAATTATTTTTATTGTTAACTCAACGTTTCTTTTAATAAAAATTGTAATTAAAAAAAAAATCACAGCCCACTTACAGCAACCCCACGGGGTTCTCAAAGCAAGACCAGAGCAGAGGTGGCTTTGTCGTTGCCTGCCTCTGCGTAACAACCCTTGGCTTCCTTGATGGTCTCCCATCCAAATACTAGCCAGGGCTGACCATACTTAGCTTCAGAGAGCTGACGAGATCAGGCTAGCTGAGGCCGTCCAGGTCAGGGCAACTAAACCACCCAAGACACATCAACAGATCAATAGAATTTTTCAAGAACAAACTATTTCTGTCCATCGTACGTCACGACACGCACCCCTTGCAAATGCAAGATACATATGTGTGTGTGTGTGTGTGTGTGTATAAATCGGAGGGCACATCCGGCTCCCCCTTCTCCATCACCTAAAGCAATACAATGCTTTTACTTACACCACAGCTGGTTGAGAACATCTGCTGCTGGTTTCATAGTAGGATTCCAGCAAATTGCGTGGGATTTTCCTTAATGCGTAGCTGAAGCAGCAGGACGTAGGGGGATCACCTCCCACTGGAAGAGACAAGAAAACAGAATGAGTCTAGAATGCCTTGGAATCTCTCGTCCCCAAGATTTGAGGCGACTGGCACTGGCAGATCTGGAGGCCAGGCCGTGATCTCACAGCACAGTTCTTCCTTTGCATGCAGAAGGTCCCAGTTTCAAGCACTGGTATCTCTTAAAGGTTCTCATACAGCAGATACTGGGGAAGAACTGGAGAGATGCTTCCTCCAGTGGACAATATAAAGCTAGGTGGACTAATGGTCCAAATCGGTTTCAGGCAACTTCAGCTATAATTATCTAGTGATGCTGAGAAAGTTTATGGTCTGCATGGGCTTATTAAGAAACATAGTTTGGGGTCATTTCATCTTTGGGCTTTGAGGCCTAGTACTGGAAACAGGGGCAGAGGTTAATCCCCTGGCATGCCTACGGGATCCAAGGGGGTCACCAGCCCATGAAAAATAGAACAAAGCAGAGCTCAGCAGAGGCTCAAAGGGTCTCCCACCCCCCTGCATTGACCTAAACCAACGCAGACAGATTCTCATCCGAGACTGGAGACAGACAATAGTCTGTTTATCTGGAAGGTGATAGACCAAGAGTGCCCCTGTTTGTTCTGTTGGACCTCTCAGCAGCTTTTGAAGCCACCCAAGCATCGTACGCTGCTTCTGCTGGTCACTATTAATCTACAGATAATGAGCTTCCACAATATCTTGAGATAAACTTCAGTAGAAGAGATTTCTATGATAAATCTAGCCACCCGTATCTAATGGCGTGGATATTCCGGTCTAAAGGCCGGTCTAAAGGCCCCTGCCACACGAGGGAAGAAGGGACGGCCACAGTGCGGCTTTTAAAAAGCCGCACCTAAATAGGCACGCGGCGGCGGGATCATACAGATCCCCTGAGCCGCTGTGCATTTGCTCCCCGGCACGATCAGATGCCGGGGAGACGGGGAGTAAGGCACGGGAGTCTGCTGAACTGTGCATGTCGGAGCATGCGCCGGCGAAAGAACGCGCTGGCGATCCCATGGCCAGCGTTGCTGTGGCCGTTCGAAAAGAACCACCCCGGTAGGTGGTTCTTTTTTGGTGCGGATCATCGCTGGAAGGGCTGGATCGGGGACGGACACGGTACGCTTCCCAGATGTTGCGGTGGGATCGCGCCCGTTTGCTCCGCCCCCGTTCCGTCCCTCTCCCGGCCCTAATCCTCTCGTGTGGACAGGGCCTTTTTGTGTGGCAAATCTTCATGCAATGTTTTGAAGTACAGACCCCAGTTCTCCAAGATGTTCTGCTGCTCTGAAATGAACAGGAGCTGCTCTTGCGCCCTTCCTTTTGGTCTCAACAGGGCTTGTGCAGGACATCATCCCAGCAGGTTGTGCAGGACATCATCCCAGCAGGTTGTGAGCAGTGTTCCTTCTAAGCTGAGTTAGTGTGAGCTAGCTCACAGCTTTTGAGCCTCCAGCTCACAGCTTTTTGTCTCAGCTCAGGAAGGATGGGGCTCCAGAGCAAACTAATTGATGCAGCAGCCAAATGGCTCGCTCACAACTTTAATGGCAGCAGCTCGCAGAGTAGAACTTTTGCTCACAAGACTCCACAGCTTAGAGGGAGCATTGGTTGTGAGCCGTGTAAATTAATGGGAGGGTGTGTGGGGGTGTCGCCGCTTGAATCTTATTCCCCTGGCCCAACTCCGTCTTGGACCAGGAGAAGAAGGGGTCCCACCATCTCCCTTTCATCTACTGCAGCCTTGGGCCAGGAGAAGAAGGGGTCCCACCCAGTGTTCCCTCTAAGCTGAGTTCGTGTGAGCTAGCTCACAGTTTTTTACCCTCCGGCTCACACATTTTTTTTGTAGCTCAGAAAGGAGGGCTCCAGAGCAAACTAATTTATGCAGTAGGCAAATTGCTCGCTCACGACTTTAATGCCAGTAGCTCACAAAGTTGAATTTTTGCTCAGGTCTTGGGCCAGGAGAAGAAGGGGTCCCACCCTCTCCATCTCCCTTTCATCTACTGCAACCACAATGGAGAGCAACTGACCTGGTCCAGAGAAGGCCTGAGAGCACACGGCGAAGAGAAGCAGGAGGGCCAGTGCACAGAAACTTGTGTTGATGTTCATGTTCATGGTGGGTGGAGAGTAGCAGGAGCTGGACTGGAACCGGTTTCTCTTGGAGGCTGTTCTGATGTCTGGTGGCAGCTCCAGGCATCCTGCCCTCCTTTATATCGCAGCTGGAAGGGATTGAGTAAGAAAAAACACAACGGAATTTCCAGCTGATGTCACCCTGAAGTGAGGCAGAAAATAGAATCCATCACCTGCCACAGCGGAGGAAGTCTCTGACTCATCTTTTCACAGAGGAGACCTCCAAGTCTTCGCTGCAAAGATTGTGTGTGTGTTTATTTTTTCCCCCCCATTTTAGCGGAGGGCAGCCGAGAGAGGGAGAGAGAGAGGAGATCAGATTAGCTAAAGGAGGGTGGGGGTGGAGAGATGGTTCCCCCCCTCAGACAATGCTTTGCTGTGTCACCAAAGAAAACCCCATTCAGTATAGCACGCTGGCTTGCGCAATCTAGGAAAGAGGCAAAATGCAGAGATAAATCTTTTTTCTCTCTCTGATTCTTTTCCCCCCCCATTTGGGGAAACTGAGTGAAAAGTAGATTGGGGGGATTTTTGTGACACGGCGGGAGCGATGCTGTCATCTGAAAGCCATACATTTATTTAATGTGTGTGTGTATGTGTGTGTGAAATTCCCAACATCTGTATTCTAGTATACAACTATCCTCCTGTTTCTCCAAATAGCTCAGGATGGTATTCATTGTCCTCCCCTATCCACAACAGCCCCGTGAGGTAGGCTAGGCTGAGAGGGAGTAACAGGGCCAAGAGCACTCACCATCGCGGCAGAGTAGAGATTTGAACCCTGGTCTCCGAGGTCCACCTGATCTGGCCGTAGCTGTTTCTTTTGCTACTTGAACCTAGCTGGATACCTTCCTTTCTGCTCAGCTGCCTTGAATCCCTGCCTGCCTTCTTTGATTCTTCCCCAAACAGTGGAAAGGTGAATATTTCATATATAGATCCCAGAAGAGCTGAATGTAACAGGTGGGAAAGAAGCAAAACAGGCAGCCTCTAGAGAAAGGGTTACTGCAGCCCATAGGCGTAAACTATGGTGGTGGGGGGGCTCGGGGGTTTGGGCCTCGTGCAGTAACTAGTGCCAGGCAATATTGAGTTTAAATCTTTCCCCTGTGTGGCCCCCCCCCCCCAAGCTGGAAAAAAGGAAGTCAGTGTGTAATGAATTTCCAGGCTCACATTCTTACAAATGCTAACTGAGCTAGCAGGACAGACAATAGGATGGTTAAACACCCCCCTTCTCTCCCTCTCTTCTCCAAGGTATCAAATGTTAGAGGAAGACAGATCTATGGAGACAGGAAAAGCTGCCTTCACCTGGGCGGGGAAAGAGATCTGATAGCTAGGGTTCCCAAGTACCTACCTACGAACCGGCGGGGGACACATGCTTCCCCGCCGGAAGATTCTTGCTTGTAACACAGGAGCTCCACTATTCTGTCGCCCAGACATGACGTAGGCACGTCGCTTGGCTATGTGCCTACGTCACGTCTGGGCAACGGAATAGTGCAGCGCCTGTGTTTTCCCCGCGGGAATGGTCCCGCGAAGAACTATACATCCCCCACCGAATTAAGGTAAGTACTTGGGAGCCCTGCTGATAGCATTCCTTGCAACAGGAAGAGAATGTCTCACAGCTGGATCCATCGGGGAGACAGACCTCTGACCTGAGGTCTAGGGAAGGTGACCATTTTTGACTACCTGGCCGGCCTATAGGGCTGAAGAACACTTGATATTGTAAACAGTAATTGTGATCTGCAAAGGTTTTCGGCTGTATCTTTGCACTCTCTAGATTAACAACTAAGGTTTTTGATATCCAGAACATATCAATCCTTGAATATGTTTGGTGTGTGTCAGAAAAAAAAGTATAGTCCTTAACCCTGGCTTATATAGTCCTGAACCCACCCACTTTCAATGTAGCAACAGTCAGACTGTGAAGCCTCTGTTGGGTCCAACATACTTGCTTGGCTCCAATTTATATTTTGGGGAAAAGTGTGTTTCTATTTTATTTTACTTGGGTCTATATCCTTGACTGAGAACAGTTGTTTTTTTTCATGGTAGTGAAAGGGAGGGGCTGCCTTAGCCACTTGTAAGCTCTTATTTCAATTTCAATTTCCATTTCATTTTTAAATGGTAAGCCCATTTACATGCAGATCAGAGGCATTTTAAAGTTTCCTTTTGCCTTGTGTGCAACCCCCATAGAACATTGGCAAGGAATGTGCACTCTGTACATGTTCATGCTCTTCATTTTGCTGTTACTTAAAATGGTGTGGTACAGTTTCAAAGGGACAACCAACTGGTATGTACTAAAAGAATGACAGGATTGCCACTGGAAACAATGGGAGAGGCTTGAAGGCCCATTGGAGATAATGGGAGTCAGGAATGAAAAAAGAATGCCAATTGACTTGCATGGGCTCCACTGAAATACATTCCAGCACAAAAAAAGTTGCAAAGAACTCAATTAAAGAATATATTATTTTTTGTAAACCCTGAAGTACAAAAAGATTGGCTGGCAGTAGAAAAAATGTTTATAACACCAGCATATTTACATGAGGTAATATGGAATAAACGTTCAGAATTAGGTCAGTTTTTAAATCAAAATCCCTTTTAAATTGTACACTAGATATTTGGGACAAATACAGACATATATTGACACCAGGTATTTCCCCAATCTCTTCCTTTTTAGGACAACATTGGTTTATCCCAGGAAAAGAAATTAACACCTTTAGACAATGGAGAATAAAAAAATATATTTAGATTAAATCAGATATTTGAAAGAAATATTTTATTAACGAAAGACCAACTGGAACAAAAATATCAAATACAGATATCATGGATGCAATATCAACAACTACATCATATGGTTAAAACAAACAATCTTAGGAATAATCTAGATAGAGAATTAACCAATTTGGAGAAATTAATTAAATTGAATATTCCTGGGGGAAAAGGTGTTATAAAAATCATTTATGCAAGTATAAATGAAAAACAGTGGAAACAATTTACGACACAACAGAAAGTATGGCATAAGGACAGTCAAGTAATACTGACCCAAGAACAATGTGATGCCACTGGCTCCTCCCTATGATGTTACTGGGCCCCAGTTCTTTTAAAGACCTAGCATAGCAATGCCTCTGGGAGGCTGAACAAATGGTGCCTAATTATGTATACCTTTATTGTCACCGGGAGTGGGGGTGGGGAATGCTATCTGCAATCTTAGAAATGCTTCTTTGTCTCCATGGCCCGATCCAGTCTTGGTCATGCCCCATTAAGCTGTTTTAACCATCTTATTTAAAACATCTTGATGCCAACTTTCCACCGATTAGGGTCTCCAAAGGGAAGAAAGTAATGGGGATCCCCAGGTGTGAGCTGGGACCGATGCTATTTATTCTTAACTTATCCGCCACCTCATACCACCCCCACCCCCGGGAAACTGGAAAGTCTACTCCCCTGATACAGTCTTTCCATCTGTGCCCACTGCTCCTCTGCACAAAATTGTCCTGCTTTTTAATTTTAAAAAGGCATCTGCCATGCACATCTTGAGTGACTGTAAGTCAGGCCATTGGTCCATCTAACCTGCGCTGCCTGCTTCAGCTGACAGTGGCCATCAAGCTGAGAAATAGATTTCCCAGTTCTGCTGACTGAGGTTATCTTTTTAACTGAGCATTGATCCGAGGGCCTTCTGCACTTGCTTTGCCAATGAGGTTATGGTTCCACCTTCTAGAGCACACATCTATACTACATATGTAGTACATGAAGAAAGGTTAAAGAGGTTAGGGCTCTTTAGCTTGGAGAAACAATGACTGAGGGGTGACATGATCGAGGTTTACAAAATTATGCTAATAAATTCCTATGCAAGGCGAACAATATTATAACATTTTCCATAGCAGGAATCAGTCAGAACAAACATAGCCGATGGAGAAAGTCCCAGGGAAGTGTTATATCCAGATGTTAAATGTGGTCAAATGCCTGGTAGAAGAGCTCCGTCTTGCGGGCCCTGCGAAATTGTAATAAGTTCCGCAGGGCCCTGGTGTCTTCCGAGAGCTCATTCCACCAGCATGGGGCTGCCACAGAAAAGGCTCTCGCCCTGGTAGTGGTCAATCTGGCTTCTTTTACCTTGAATAAAACTTTATTGGTGCCACTGGACTCAAACTTTATTCTACTGCTTCAAACCATAACGGCCTATATCTGGGGCAGTGATGCTCTGTGTCCTTGGTGCTTGGGGGGCAACAATGGGAGGGCTTCTGGAGTTCTGGCCCTGCTGGTGGACCCCCTGATGGCACCTGGGTTTTGGCCACTGTGTGACACAGAGTGTTTGACTGGGTGGGCCACTGGCCTGATCCAACATAGCTTCTCTTATGTTCTTATATGTGAGGCTGAACAAATGGTGCCTAATTATGTATACCTTTATTGTCACCGGGAGTGGGGGTGGGGAATGCTATCTGCAATCTTAGAAATGCTTCTTTGTCTCCATGGCCCGATCCAGTCTTGGTCATGCCCCATTAAGCTGTTTTAACCATCTTATTTAAAACATCTTGATGCCAACTTTCCACCGATTAGGGTCTCCAAAGGGAAGAAAGTAATGGGGATCCCCAGGTGTGAGCTGGGACCGATGCTATTTATTCTTAACTTATCCGCCACCTCATGTAGTTCCCTGGAGAAGCAGCAAATCCATTTCCAACATTTATTTATTTATTTATTGGATTTATACCCCGCCCTCCCCGCTGAAGCAGGCTCAGGGCGGCTTACATAAAATTTGACACAGTTTAAAACCACATAAAATCTAAAGGGCTATATAATACATTCCTATGCAAGGCGAACAATATTATAATATTTTCCGTAGCAGGAATCAGTCAGTACAAACATAGCCAATGGAGAAAGTCCCAGGGAAGTGTTATATCCAGATGTTATATGTGGTCAAATGCCTGGTAGAAGAGCTCCGTCTTGCGGGCCCTGCTAAATTGTAATAAGTTCCGCAGGGCCCTGGTGTCTTCCGAGAGCTCATTCCACCAGCATGGGGCTGCCACAGAAAAGGCTCTCGCCCTGGTAGTGGCCAGTCTGGCTTCTTTA